GTTTCCACCCCCCACCCACCACTCTACCCTAAAAAGGCGAAATCCTTTTGTGCGACGCGGACCCGCGAAAGTTGTCTTCAGTAAGTATATTATATTATTACATAATGAAACCTTCGGTCGGCGGACGGAAAAAGGGTGAACTGTAAATCAAAAGCCCGCGATACCGCGAGTCAGACGGCTATGGTCAAAGGTCTACTGTTGCATCGTATCTATTATGATTTTGCTCAAAACCATAACGAGGCTGCAGGGTGAGTTTAGGAATATAATTAACTCTAGAATAGATTAAGTGGGATGGTAAAAAAAAAACAAAACTTAAAAACTACCTAAACGAGGAGTTAATAGTTGAAGATACAGTTTCAAAATGGTTTGTTCAAGTAAATTTTAATAATAAATATAAACTTTTTAGTTTACCGAGTAAACGTGTTTTTCTCATTGGACGTTTGGACTTAAGTTTCACCGTAATAAAAGTAATGGTGCTTTTAGATGATTAATTCATGGGATATATATGTACTATACTTATTAATAATTAATAAACCTAGTAAAAAAAAAAAAAATTGAATTATTTTATACCTACTCTTAATATGTTTTAAATTATAAACTGTGGTACATGACCAATATGAGCTGCCACTTCTTAAAAAATAATAAAAAATATCGAGTCCTCCTAACCAAATTGCCTTGATTCATGATCCGAAATATACAACTGTAAAATGTAAATGACACGGAGTTTTCATGCTTATTAATATGAATAATTAAACTCTACAAAAACTTCCACTTAAATAAAATAGAATGAGGTCTCCAATACAAGTTTCGTATAAAAAAACATCTAAGGCTGTATAGGCCAGACCTACGCTTACCGCACCTCCCTCACTTAAGCATTTAAAACATAATATAATATGATACATGATTTTTATCCTGAATTTTTTTAACTGACACACTAAATGATATTGCATTTATAAATTTCCTTACCGCTCATACAATGGTCTAAATACCCCCCTCATTCCCCTTACACTGATGTACGTTATTGAATAGTATCTGTATTATGAGTTATACGAGCCATTGAGTTCACCTTGAATGTGTTGTGACAACGGTGACCGTAATTAATGCGTATACTTTTATATTATTATCTATAAATTATTAAAAGTACGAGTCGATTTTCTAGGGAGCATTATGATTATAACTTATAAGGCTTGTGTGGAAAATGTTCGGTGTACGTACACTTCCTCATATAATATTATATTCGTGTATCGCCATGGGCTTCACTGAAGCTAAAGGTGAAAGATCGACTTCACGTTCGTATTTCGTACATATGAGTTTTTAAATGTACCTATGATATCTTGTAGTACCTACCTAACGTTACTTATGATGTATGGTTTTAATACTATATAATATTATTCAATATAGCATATGTTATGAAATTGATATTATTTATTAGTTTATTATTTTATTGTATTGGTGAATTTCTGAGTCGTCCAGAGTCCTATATGCTATATATTGTATCAGATATATTTTCCAGGGATTTAGAGACGATTGTAGAATGATATTATATAATAATATTATGGAGTAGATGCGCTCTCGGAAATGTCGTTAAAATTTACTTCTATAATAGACTGTAGTAAGTTAAGTCAAGTTTAGTGATATATGGATAGGTGCTCCGTAATCATTAATGTACTGTGTATCTATGTACCTATGTGACTATACAGATTTAAATGATCCATTTATTGATATTATTATTAAATGTTTTGTAAGTTAATATGAAAGTATGCCTTATAATATTAGTTATTATGTTGCTATTACATTGTTGTCATCTATGTCAACGAACGACTATTAAAATATTATATTATAAACTATCTTAATCTATTACAATATGTAGGCAATAGTATCGCAGACTGTAGTGTAAATTGTGAAATGTATATAGGCTATAGGTAATTGTCTTTGTCAAGCAGACATTTTGTACTTTAAAAATAAACTCTTGATTATTGATCGCGTACTCTGTAGTATACGAAATATTAAAAATACATTATATAACAAGAAGTTCCATCACTGGATGGATTTTTCTTTCAAGCATCCAACCCCCATCAACTCCCACAGCACTTGTACTTATTGTAAAAAAATAAATTTACAGATTGTATAAATTAATTAATAATGTAACAAAAAAAATACATTACAATATAATATAAATAATACGTTCCATTATACATATTAATAGGTATACAAATTATAAATATTATGCTCATAATAACAGTACCCTATTAATTACTATAAAAGTCTCAGTCTGTGTCTGAAATACAAATGATCTGTACAACGGCGTAGGTAATATATGAAATGAATTAAATTAAATTTCGAGTGACGCAAGTTTGTAGTAAAGGCACGGCAAACTAGAAATAATTAAAACGTATAATATACGAAATCGTCGCACGATGCCAAAAAATAAGAATTGAAACAGCACTCGTTTGTAGTCCGGAAAGCGAGCATGTAAGTCTGACTGCAATAAGGGGACCCCATTGTTTCGTCCTGTCTCGATTTTACAGGAGATACGCGTCCTGACGGCAACCACCGACTGCAGGGCGAATTAATTAGAGTCGACATTGAAGAGTGACACGTGCACATTACATGGTCCATGGTATATATTTAATATGTACGGGGTGAATTCGTATAATATACCTTCGTATATAAATCCAGTTATTATAATATAAGGTTATAGTTATTTCTCGGTTCGAGGCGATAAAAAAATCACCCTGTACAAACTATGGACGAGGAAGATTATGGTCTGCGCACCTGTATATATTATTATTATTATTATTATATACCTAGATAGGTCCAACACAATGGAAACATACGAGAACCGCATACGATGTTATAATAGTATTACAGGACCGCATTGTCGTCGCCGATTTCCGTCACTTCGGACCGGATAAACGACAAAAGTTTAAGTGTAAGTACCTATATTATATTTCAAAATGTACATTTAATGCACGGCAACAATTACCTATTATTCGATTAAATATATGTCGGTTTGCTGTAAACGTTAAACCTTGTTTACAAGAATATACGATCGTTATGCCAATGCATTTTTGTGCGACAGGTCGGAACGTGTAGTCTCGTCCTCGGGACATGGTATGTGAATATTGTTATGAAGAGACTTCTTTTTAAACACCAATACAACCCCATCCGTTGTATTTAAATTTAAAATTCACTCTTGGATTCACTTTGGGAAGACGGATTTACGGACGATGCTAAACTTAGGGGACGAGCAAGTTACTGACGGTCAACTAAAAATGTATTGCTTGACCGAAAGCTAGTCGTGCGGCTAATGTTCACGTATCGAGGGACGCGTCTGCAGATGCACTCTTTGCCCGCCCCCAATTCCATATCCAAATGCACCGTCGCATTTTGTATTATGATTTACGGTGTTGTTATAGCGTTGGTTGTCTGCGCAGGAGATCCACGAAGACAGTTAAGGCCGCCAATTAAATGTTGGTAAATCTTTAGCGGTCTATGAAGATTTACCTCTTTGTGGGTACCCCGTGGCCCACATTGTGATATTATATACTTATTTGGAAGTTTAGAACACGTCTACCGGGCAGGACACGGACGCGGCGGTCGAAGTAATCCGAACGGTAACCGCGTAGGTACAGTAGTTGTGTCACCGGTCGCCGTACACTCTTTACGGTGCATACGATGTAGATGTGTACCAATTATATATTTTATATTATGTACATATAAGTTATAATAGAAGCTATAGGTCAACACGAATCGCATAATGTCATTAAACGAGTAGGATGCGTGTCAGATGTAACAGCGGCGGCGGGTAGACCGGCCAAGCATGGTTCAAGTGCGTGGAAAAAGGTTACTCACTCACGTCCAGTTGTCCGTACGTTTTACCTCCACCCACCACCCACACCTAACGAATTCCGCCACCACGACCGACACCTTGTCGTATACAACAATAATATATTACTCGCGGACACAATACACGGTCGTTATAAGGTCGTCGGAGACATTCATCATTCGTCCGTCCGACACGTCACAAGCACGTCGGTCCATTATTTTTCTTTTCTCGTACATATATACATAATAATATGTAAGTATTATCATATTATTATATTTTTCTCTAAATCAGCTGTTTGTTTTTTTTACGCTGTTGTGTCAGGCGGGTCAGCTGATGACACGACCCCGGCCGACCGATATTATTTATTACGTATTATACACTGCTGGCACTCGATATAGCTGGCACTCATATCATCAATTATGAACATTTAAGCCTGCCCGTGAACTCTATGTTGCAAACTCTACCGTCACGCATAATTTATAATATTCTGATTTCACAGCTGTACCTATATATTATTCTGCACAGTGCAAGTATCAGATGGATTGCAAGAATTTGTTCATATGACATTGTTTTGGAAAACTGTAAAAATTATACTATTATGTATCAAAACGTTGAAAACTATACGTCATAATATATAAGTAGATGGAATAATATTATGATATAGACGGAATTTACCATTAGAGATAAATATATAATCTTAAAACTTTTGACGTAGTTTTCAGGATTATTTATCCCCCTCCCCCACATACAAAAAAATAAAACTATATCTCTGGCAACATTATCATCCTAAATCGTAATGTTTAACAGGTGATATATTTTATTGGTAAATGGATGTATCATCAAATAGCGAATAGATAATCAACGGCGTCAGTGTAAAACCTTGTACCCTTAAAGTTTGAATGAATTTTTTGGATATAAAGTATAAACACTTTATTTTGGTGCTATAGCCAGTGAGTGGCGTGGCGTGGGTATTAAAAATATGTAAGCAGTGAAATATTTTTTTTCAAAAGTGATTAGAATATAGGTACTATACCTAAATACCTAATTATAAATTATATATAAAAAAATGTTATCCTTTTAAAAATTTTAATATTTTTAAAAAATATACTAGTTGTACAAATCAAATTAAAAACATTATTATTAATTATTATAAACGATCATTTTTAAAATTTTATTTAAAACATAAATTTATTCGTCTTGGTTTTTTTGAGTAGTCTTCAATAACTTCATCATAAAAACTGTTTTCCTTTTGAATTTGGGTTAGTAATTGTTTTTCAATAGATAAAATTGACAACGCTGATAGTCTATTTTGTGATTGAGAGTTTCTTAAATATGTATGTATCCTTTTCAATGTCGAAAATGAACGTTCAGCACCTGCACTTGTTGCTGGAATTGTTAAAATTAAAGATGATAATTTCGTAACTTGAGGTAAACTTTCAGATAGTTCAGTTGATTTAAGATATAACCAAAGTTCGTTAATATTTCTTTTATGAAATTCGGTTGATGAATACACAATAGTTAATTCACTTTTAAGTATAGAAAAATCAAAATATTCACCATACGAATTTTTCAGTGAGTCCATAGAATTTGTTGGAAACTGATTAACAAACTGATCAAATTTTGAAAAATCCAATAATGAAAAAAATTGTAATTTAGAAATTTCAGAAAATCTCTCATTAATTGTTGTTACCAATACATCAATGATTTCAAAAAATAGTCTTCGGTAATTGGTTATTTTGTCTTCAGAAACTTCAGTTATTCTTAGTCTTTTTGATCTTAATGGCATTTCTGTATTTAAATACTGTTCAGATTTGGACCAAATTTGATCGAAATTATTTCTCATATTTTTTAAGTGATTGACAAAATCTAAAATTTTTGTATTACAATAAGTAACATCAAATATTTTTGTTCGCAATATATTAAGCAGAACAGTTGCTTGAGGTAAAATATCACCAAATATTAAAAGGAAAAAATTAAAATCAAAATCTTGAATCGTTTGGAAAAATCCTCTAGCACACGATAGTGTTTCACTGTCCCACTTTTCTCCATTTTCTATAATTGTGTCCATGAGGTTTAATACTTCTTGTTTATACTCGGACATCATTTCAACGAGTCCACTGTTATAATTCCACCTAGTTGGGGCGACAGATGGAAATCTTTTTTTTACTTCTTGTTCAAGTGCATAAATTCTTTTTGTAGATTTTGAAAAAAAAGATGAAATTCCAAAAAGTGTGAGAAAAAATACTTTACATTCTTTTATGTGATCAACAGACTGTTTTAATATTAAATTAAGTTTGTGAGCATAACAATGTACAAACATTGCATTTTTGCATTTCAATCGAACAAGCGCCTGCAGACCATTATGTTGCCCAGACATGACGGTGGCCCCGTCATATGTTTGTGCTATTAATTTATTTTCACAATTATATTCTTGTAAAATATTAAAAGTATGTTCAGCTAAGCATTTCGCAGATCGATCTTGACTGACGTCTACAAATCCCAAAAATCTTTCCTGTACCCCTTCATGGGTAATATATCGAAAAATTATTGATAATTGAGATTTCGATACGACATCGGTGGTTTCGTCCATAATTATCGAAACAAAATCAACATTTTTTATTTCTAATGTAACTTTTTTCATTAGAACATTAGAAATTGATTGTATAAGATCGTTTTGTATATCTCCAGAAAGACCAGAAAAAACAGTGGCGGTCGAAAGATGTCCGCTTAATTTGAGATCAAGTGTCCTCATCAAATTAATTAATTCTACGTAATTACCCCGATTTGTTGAGGTTATTTGTTCATCGTGTCCATGAAACGGAAGCTCTTGTTTGGCCAAATAACATGTTGCATCAATTAATCGGCTAACAACATAACGATTATTTTTTATTGTTTCGTTATGTTTTTCAATACTTATTTTATAAGCTTCACTATTTAGACATGTTTCGATTCTAACATTATCAAATTTTTTTAAAGTGATTAAACATTCAATATGCGAACGATTTGTTTCATGACGATGTTTCAAATTATGATAGTTATTTAAATCAACAAAACCAAGTTTTGACCAAACGTTCGATTCACGTGAAAATAAAATACAAGGCCAACAGTAAAGTTTTTGAGATTTTTCACAACCAGATAACCATTTATTTGAATCGTAATAGGATGAATTAAAATATCGAAAAGTTTTTTTATTTTTTGATTTTAAATTTTGAAGTTTTGGAGTAGGTCTTCCCTTATTTATAATATTTTGTTTTTCAGAAAATGAGTAAGTTCCAAAAGATTTTTGTAACAATTGTTCAATAATACATTTACAATCATTATTATCATTTAAATTAAAATTTGAGGTACTTGCCAATGAATCCATGTTATAAATTCGAGTCTTCGAGAAAGTAAAGAAATTGAAGTATAAATACTTCAAAAGTCAAAAAAACTGACAGTGCGAATGACAGTGACAGTGTACGTAAAAACGACTACAGTCTACAACGCGTCGGGCTACGTACTGGTCGGCGGTCGTTCCTTGTTTCTCGCGTAAGCAAAATCAAATGTGCTTACAAACGCTAGTTAAATACGTGACCCCCACTATGGCATTATAGACTATTCGAAAACAACAGTTGCGCGTAAGCAATTTCAGAATGACGTGTTATACACTGTATATCGTATTATGATTATGCAGTTAACATAATACAGAATGGATTAAAAATAGACCTACAATCGATGATTTTCTTAAAATAGTTGGTAATCAGTAGACAGCGTACACCACAAATAAACAATAACAAAAACCACTACCAGCTATAACTTAAATATTTTATAAATAAAATTAAAATTTTAAAAATCATTTATTATGTACCTATATTAGTCGTGATTGATCAAATTCATTTTATCTTTCATTTAAAGTGTAAGCAGTGCTTACAGTGCTTACATGCACGCTACAATTGCCAGTGTTGGGTAAATTACTTGTAAAAAGTAATGAAATTACTTTACTCATTACTCACTTACTTATTTGCGTTACCTGAAATTATTTTTATCACGTTACATTACTTTTTCATTAATAAAGTAGTGCGTTACAAATAACGTTACTTTTTTTTTATTGGTTCGTTATACAATTTTCATAGGTGAAAATGCCAAGTATCTAATATGTGTAGGTAACAACTAACAAACAATAAACAAAATTATTTTAATATACTTAAATAAATAAAATATCGATATAGGATGTAGGTAATTAACTTAAAAATATATTTTTGTTGTATTTTTATTATTAAATGTTCACTTTGGTACTATTTTATACCTTAACAGTAGCTGCCAGGCCAAACATTTGTTTTTATTATAATTAATATTTGTAAAAAAAAATATTACCTGTCATATTTCTACTAATTATAATATATAACCAATGGCAACCATTTAAAAGAACAAAATAAATATTATTTTATCGTGATTTGAAAAAAATTAATGGCTGAAATACATACATAGCACACACTCAAAAAAGTGAAAACTAAACAAGTGACAACTCGGCATTCAATAAATAATATTTTAATTCTTAAAAAATGCAAATTCTTTATATCTCACTTGTGTAATTAATTTTAAATAAATACATATAGTACCTTTAGATATATGTATATAAAACAATTTTAATAGTGATGACTGATGACTATACTATATAAACGTAGAAGGTACCTAATTTATCACTCAATTATATAAAAATTACTGATGTGAATTATAATTTCTATGGCAACTAAACAAAAAAAAAACTGACAATTATTTGTATGACTAGACTATTTCTGGGTCAAAATGTATAGGGGTTGGCGAGCAAAGTTAGTAATATTAATATATATTGTACAGTGAACATTGACGGGGCTTACGTAAATATACGGTAACACATAAATCCATCTTCATGGTGACAAAATATCATAAATTACTTTGTTTTTATATGCTTTAACGCTCAACGTTTGATTTCAGAGTCGTCTCGACAGCTTTTTTCGATCATTCTGCGTACAGAGGTGATTTATTTTAACAAAATCAACTAATTTTTCTGTTTATTTAAACGCATCACCATTTTCCACTTCACTACACTATTTTAATATCTAAACTCCTTCAAGATTTCTGAAAAGAAATTTTTTGATTACAATAATTAAATGAGAATTAATACCTGAACATTTTTTTTTTTTTCTTAAACCCTAAATTACTTTATAATAATAAATATAATTTAAAAAAAAAAACCGTGGTTTATCGTCCAAAACAGTAGAATTAATTCAAAAGCCGACTGAGAAAATGGGTTAATCGGGATAAAAAATGCATCTCCTTTGTGTTTTCTTACGACTGGGGTAAGCTCACATAAGCGTGTGGTAGACCTTCGAGAAAAAGCCACAAAAGTGCGAAACACTTCGATTTCCGTGCTGTGCAGCGTATAGTTTACCTACTTCCGACAGTCCGACGTATTCAATATACATAAAGTGGCTGTTTTGAACATAACGTATCACGTCGTTTCCCGAGATAAATCGACACCCGAGACGACCGTTTTATTTATAAGATCGGGGCCGCCGTCGAATATAAATTTCTCCGCTTACAGGCTGTAATAGCAGTATAGTGAATCTATCGAAATCGGTGCTTTTCCAGCGAAAACCCATTGCTTGGCTTTTAATTTTACAGTTAACTTATTCGGCTGCACTACATATTGTAGTCCACGTCGTTCAGTTTTCCGTACATTGTGAACACAGCGACGCACGGCTAAGGTATGCATTTATCAACTTGACACGTCCCGAAACACGTATATGACGGTCAAATTATTATGTAGACTTATAGGTCCTGGTCTTGTACACTTCGGCATATATTATAGTCATCGAATATATTGTACATCGCATATAGATAGGTACGCGAGCCAAACCAGCAGCACCCCGCAGGTATAGCAATAAAAAACATTAATTTTGGGGGTATGACTGAAGACATCGAGGTTAAGAAATTCGACTTTGGTGTGAAATATCAGCTTGCCCACTACTAATTATTGAGTACAAGAAATATAAAAAAAAAAATGTTGCAGGGAACAATTTTGAATTCGGAGATCTGGGCAATATTATGATATTAAATAATATAATGTAATATTGTGTATAATTGAGTGGTCGCATGAAACGAATATCATAGTGGCACTGTTTTAATATAATATACCTAAGTATAAATGTATAATATACATCGTTTCGTTAACGTTAAACCACCTGCACGATTAATATTGAGCTTTTTCTTTTTCGTTTATATCGTATATTGTACATATTTTGTACTTAATATTATTACGCATTTACTCACAATATACTCATTCAAAATGTAATAATAATAACTTGTACATTATTATAGCACACTGCTTCACGTCCGTTTGGTTAGATCAGCCGTGGCGGATCCAGGGGGATACTTGTCATTCCAACGACGTTAATAATTTTGAACACATCGTCGAGTTTGATAAAGCACGACAGATATATTTTATCATCAATTATTTCAGTTTTGACCCGAATATTACCGTACCGTGCCGAATATACAGCACACGTGGGGCGGAATCCGAGACGTTAGCGGGCTCGTAAAGTGTGTTTTTCCGGACGAGTTGAATATTAATCAAGCGCTATTGGCTCAAAAATGTTAATTTGAGTAAGACTCGAGAAATCTCGAAATCCATGTCTTTTGTGCAAAAGTCGACAGACCGTCTAAGGGCGTCGGCAGCTGCAGCCCTCACGCCCAGTCGTCCTGTGCACTTTGAATCTCGAGTTGCATCAAGCGTGTTAACACGTCGACTCGTCGTGGGTTGGTTATCATAATAATAACGACAACAACAACGACTACGATAACAATAACAGACTGCTATAATATGACCTAACAAAAGAAACCCACAAAGCACCCGACAGAGGAAATTATTGTTTGCTGGTCGGACGTGGTTTTGCGTGGGCGTTAGATGGAGCACTCTTGCACACCGCTGCAGGTGCAGTGCTATTGAGTTCGATTAATACGATACTCACGGAGGTCTTCCAAAACCGCTTCGGCCGGATTTGTATTTTCCGGTTGTTTTCGATTTAATGCAATGCAATGCAAAAAAAAATACGGTAGTCTCAAAGAAATAAAATATTAAAATAGTTATACCAAACCTGCGGTAAAAATAAATTAATCTGAGCTAGGTTCAGTGAATACAAATTCAAATCTATTTCTAGAAAAAAAAATTTTACGAGTAAGAGTGGGGTCAGTGGATAAAAGTGATGTATTGTAGGTCAACAGTTTAAAGTCAACGTACTTAAACACTTAAACAAACGCACGTTTAGTTTCCCGAAGGCTCTGAGAGTCTGAGCCATTAACGAGTTAAATAAGGTGTAACCAAGACCTTATAGACCATATTTACTTTTTAAATTGATGAGTTTATTTTGTATCTTTATTGGTTTTCAATACAGACAAAATAAACAGACAAGTAATAATAATAATATATATATTTTAGCAAATAAGCCAAACAAAATAACAGTTTAAAAATAAGAACATTGATAACAGGTTTGCAAGCTCATCCAATAAGCATAGGTATGCTTGTAGACTAAGTAATTAAGTTAGTATTGGACATCACAGTAAGTTAAATTTGTCATGCAGGGCCGTATAAAAAACGATAATTGTACCATATAATATCTCTTAGCTGTAATATGATGATGGAGCTTCCCGATAGCACAGTCATTTTAATATTTGATGTTCTACCATAAATAACTGTCTATTATTAGAATTGTTCTCAATAGTTAAATTTAAATCATAATAATATAACCTCTACAGTTGTCTTGTATTATATTGTTTTATTGACACCTCCGTTATAAAGCATACAAAATGGTTTATGAATGTTTCATTTTACTTTACGCATAGAACCATTGACGTTTTCTTTTTAGGATGATCTTACATCTGGATATTGTAAATCGTTTAAACAGATATTTTTATGCAGATTTGTATACCATTTGAAAACTCTGTGTCTGTTGTTTTTTCTTAGTCGTACATAAACTAATACATATAATACGTAATGCTCTGTTGGGAACGGTTGGGTTAGAATAGATTTGTATTGGAAAACTCTTGGTCGACACCGTAATTTTTATGACAAAAAAAAAATAAAAATTACAATCAATTTGTGGGTAATTATAAATTTCTAGTAAATATTTTTAGTGATGAAAATTCCAGTTTCGGAACGAAAAGGATTATATAAGATGATGTCCAAGTGCATGTTTTTATACCTAGATGTAAAACGAGTTAAGTTAGTTCTTTTTTCTAAATCACTGATGACAATGTTTTATGTGGACGCTATATGTTGGTTATATAAATATATAATATTATATTATAACTTATAAGGTTTGTGAACTTTGACTCACAGCTGCACAC